AGTGCTTAATTTCTCTAACTGAAACTTCAAATTCCATTACTACTTAACATTCTCAGCATAAATTTAACGGATTTCTTGCAAATTTTCTTTACCACGCATAATATTAAGAGTAGAGATTATAAAATTAATTTAAGAGAAGTAAATGAATAAAATGAAAGGAAAGACAAAGCAATTACCTGTTTTCTTATAGTCATAAAATCCTCCAATACATCATGCATTACAAGCATCTTCTCCAACTAATTGTAAACATCAAATATGTCCGGAAGTTCCGGATCCTGTTTATCAACAACAAACATTCTGGAAAATACACATTTATAAAGTATACGAAATACGTAATGGTTATAATAAAAGAAATATTAATTATTGATCGTAACAAACTTATAACATTATAATTTCATTTCTAAAATAACCCATACATTAGCTAAAATAAAATTATATAATATTTCCTTTTTAAGGAGAATATATTTCACTTAAAGGATATAAATACTCTTTACTTAAAAGTATTACATACATACTCTTTACTTAATAATATTATGCAAATTAGCTAAATAAACCATACAAAGGCTAGTATAAATGATATATAATATTTCCTAAATAATATGCTAAAAAAAATGTACGTGTAAATATTCAAATAAAATGGGAAAAAATTGGATCATTTTGTTGATTATCATAAAAAAGTATAACTTTTGATGGATGAATAATTGATCCATTCAATTTGAGAATTGCTCAGTACAACAAAAGAGCTTTTTCTCTCTCTCTCTCTCTCTCTCTCTCTTTATAGTATCCCTTTGATGGTTAAATCTGAAATAGGAACCATTTTATCTTCGAGAGATTTCTAATCATTTCTTTTAATTATTGTTAATTACTTCAACTGAAGTAATGTATTCGAAGATGTGAGAAATAGTATTTAAACATTGTTAAATTTCCAATTTAGATCTCAATATGCAGCATTATTAGCCATTCATTTCAAAAAATGTCAAACAGTTTTGAAAAAAAAATTCTTTTCATTTTATTTTCATTAGCACTGCTTCATAAAATGATATTTTATGAAGCATTTCATGTTTTCGATATTAACAATTATTCCAAATGAATGTATTACCGTGGATTTTGTCCACTTTTCAAATCAAATGATGTATGCTACTGTAATAAATGAATTACTTCTTGGTTCGTCTACAATTATTAATCAAATAATTTGTCAACTAAGGTTATAACCTTAGTTCGGTTATCATCCATTGCAAATGTTTTTGTTGGATTGTCACGTCTAGAGTTCAAATGTTAACCAGATGTAAGATAGTAAGAAGTTTGAAGTATATGACTTGCATATTGTTCTATCACTTTCTACTTATTTATTTAATATGAGGTGGTGCTTGTCTCTCTTCTTCCAACTATTATTATTATTATTATTAGTATTAGTATTATTATTATTATTATTATTATTATTATTATTATTATTATTATTATTATTATTATTATTATTATTATTATTATTATTATTATTATTATTATTATTATTATTATTATTATTATTATTATTATTATTATTATTATTATTATTATTAT